CAAAAAACCTCCGAGGTTTTTTGAGCACGGCTCACTGGGGTACAAAGACTCTGTTCGTCATTTCCTCGCTAGCAGCACCGAGGTCGCGCAATGCGCCGTTCAACCCGGCACAGTCTACGATGTCTGCAGGATTGTGGGTACTACTGATGTCCTACCACCACACTCTGTTGACCACGGTAAGTTTAGATGAAAGTGCTTAGTCACCCCAATGTCCCATTCACCGTACGTTACTTATCCTGAGTTTCATCTGAGAAGGCAACCAATGTCTCCATAGGTTAGGGGTGGTGGTCATGGCATGGCGCCGACATTTAGTTCGACAACAGGAATTCAAATCTCGATGGTGGGCTTCTCCAAGGTCGAATTTAATCGAGAAAAGCAGACCGTTACAGTCGGCTCTGGCTGTCTTTGGGATCAGGTGTACCGCAAGCTCGCACCCACTGGGTACAACATCGTTGGAGGGGCTTCGGCGGACGGTGTAGGTGTGGGCGGCTGGCTGCTTGGCGGAGGTTACTCCTTGAAGAGCAACCGCCGTGGCCTTGGGATCGACAATGTCATCAAATTCGAGGTCGTCACGCCCGACGGTCGTGTGCGCACAGCCAACCTGGTTGAAAACAGTGATCTATTTCAAGCTTTACGTGTATGTTTTTTCTTTTTTCTTTTTTCTTTTTTTCAACGAGTATCTGTGGGACAAGCTAACTTGCGCGATTTCCACAGGGCGGAGGAAACAATTTCGGCATTGTCACCAAGTTCACTCTCAAAGCTTTTTCTCAAGCGAGAACGAACTATGTTTGTCCCGGCTTTCCAAGTCAGCATGTGTGGAACTAACCTGTTTTCCAGGGCTCTTACTTCTTTCTCGAAGGTGATCGCGTGGAAGCATTCAAGAAGGCGATGATTGACTATGTTGAGAACGAGACGAGACAGGAAGCCTGTGTCGTGGCTGCCTTCCGGCACGAGCTGGTTAGAGGCCAGGACGATGTACGTGTTCCTCTCGTGCATTCTCGAGCTTGAGCTGATTGAACTCGTCGATTCGTAGCCTCAGTACACTGTCTCCGTCTTCTGTGTTTTCGACGACGAGTTACCAGAGCGCGACGAAGACCTTCCCTTTCAATCGTTCGCCAGTTTACAGGAGAGCTCCGATACCTGGACAGTGGACCCGGCGGGGTGGCACCTTGGGAGGGCGGGCTTCTCGATTAAGGACAGCTCATTTGCTGAGTATCACCCGCCGCTGAAAAGGCACGAGTTGAGTGGTCAAGTACTTCTCGTCTCTAACCGTGGCTAATTGGTGCGACTCGGACGATAGTGGTTTGCCCACCGGGTACTTTCAGCAGATGCCTTTCCATAACTTGTATGGCATCCGCTCCAACAAAGGCCGCTCTGGCCGCTTAAACGATGGCGGCGACGATCCCGACGACGACGGACCGATCATGGTAACGGACAAGATAGACAAAATGGGTGAACTGAGCGAACGGTTCGTATCTTTTATCTCCTCCGCCTGGTCGCCTTATCACGTTGACCGGCGCCACAGGGGACGGTTCGGCTGCCTCATGATTTCCAAGTACACCAAGCCTCTGCTCGACGAGATGCAAAAGACAGCGGAGGTATCTCAGTTCTTGTATATTTCCTAATGCGACCTTCTTACGCAATTTTTCAGGACGTTGCGCGCTACCTCAAGACGAACCGTGGCCTGTCCATCGTCATAGATGTATGGCCCGTGCACAAGGCCATCTTCGACGAAAGCCCGGGTGCGGCGTACCCCCACAATCGCGGCGAGCTTGTCGGCCCCATGCTCGTATATCTTCGCTGGGAGAAAGAATGCGACGACGACTTCTGGCTCACGAAGCTGCAGGAAACGCTCGACAGCATCCTACGCCTGGCGACGCGCCTGGGCCTGACGCCAGCGGTGCCGGCGTACTACAGCAACCTGTCGATGGAAACCATGCCGGCCGACTTCATCTACCGAGATAATATGCAGTGGTTGAGAGGTGTGAAGGGAAAGTACGACCCCAACGACGTTATGGGTCGGTGCGGCGGCCACAAGATCCGGCTGTACAACTCCGAGTCGGGGAAGGCCAAACAGTGATAAGTGCAAAGCTCTGTCGCCCTTCCATTTCCAAGACTGTCCTGCGCAATCTCTACTCGTGTATGTGCCGTGCGCCGCCACTGATCCGAAAGAATAGTAAATACTGTTGGCTACATGAGTAGCCGTCTCCGACTATTTCGTGATTGTGTGTTGCTCGTGCATGCGTAAGAACTTGAGCTTGAGGCCTGAGGACGCAAATGAGCTGGCGCATAAAATCTGGAAGTTAGCAAGGACTAACAATCAAATTCACATTACGACCCATGCTCGTTGTCGCTCCCTAGTCTCGTCCCCAGCCATTCTAGCTCACCCGGAATACTCCGGGCGGACCGCCTGACGGACTTCGAAAAACCGAAGTTCGGTCCTGTCTTGAGATCCCTCGAGTGCGCCGTTCCCGTGGTTTCATCGTTCTCAACTGTGACGGATCCGTTGCTCTGCTTTTGTGCGTTCAAACGACTCTTTACGAGCAGGACAAATCTCTTGGATATGACCGATGTCATTTTGCCTTTCGCCGTGGTTGGGGCGCGGTGTTTGTTCTATGAAATGTTTAGGCGGTACGCGCAAGTCCAGAACTGCGGACTCGATATATCTTTCATCTGTGCTGTTGCAGCACGCCTTCTTGATACGCATGAGATAGCTGCACAGGGAACAAGACAGCACGTTAACCCTACGAGCGTTACTGGCGACAACAAGCAGCTTAAGCTGAGAAGGAAGTATGGAAGTCTTTGAAAGGTACGACATGGAGCTCAGAAGTACAGTAAAGGCGTGCCAAAAACATGTGCAATTCATGCATGCGGCGTGGGTGATTGTATTGATGCAGCTCACGGATCCTTGTTGGATTCGTGGAACCTCCGCTCAATCGCGGACCTTCGTTCACGGGGTTCTTTCAGTGCTGACTCCGACCCGTGGCATTTGCATTTAAGCACGGCTGTGC